ATGACTAATTAATAATGTTTGGTAAAATAAATAATAAATATAAATAAATACAATAATAAATAAACAAATAAAACAAAAAGAATCCTTAAAGCTGAAGGAGAACTTGGTGTTCCGTCCTGCGCGCGCGCTTTGCGCACATCAGAAGTCCGCAGATGGATGCGCTGTTTCAGCTGCGCGCATATTAATAGTTGTTTATTGTAAAATGGTTATTTTGATCTTTATTTTTAGGACTAATAAATCTTCAGGCGACTTTATTCACAGATGAAACCTCTCAGAGGAACAAGCAGGACAAAAAAAGTGATTTTATTTTGTTAGAAATTGAAATATTCTCACTTTTTTTTTTTTTTACTAAATAACCTTGAAAAATCAAATCATTTCGTTTTTTTCCTCATATTTTTTATAACTGATCTTTCTAAGTTGAGTTTTTATTCAGATAATTAAAGAACTTTTCCGACTCTTACCGTCCACATCGAAATGTTTCCAGATGTCCAGAAACTGTGAGGCGGTGACCTCAGCCAGGTGGAGGTGAGGCGGCTGCTGCGCTTTGTTCGCCATGATGATGATGATGGTGATGATGATGAAGAGGATCCTCTCTGGAAGCTGCAGGAAGAAGAAAGGAACAATCCTCTGCTAACTTTTAGATTCAGTCTCCTGCTCAGGCGGACTCCACACTGTGGCACCTGCGCGCCGCGCGCCGCTTTTAACGCGGGGCGCGGCGGCAGCACCGCTGCGCCCCCTTCGGCGGCGCAGCGGTGCTGCCGCTCCCCGCCGCTGCGCCGCCGCTGGGGGCGCACGCGCACACAACACGCAGCATCCCTCCATCCATCCATCCATCCATCTGAGTCAGCATCCCTGCGCGCGCATTTGCGCGCGCTTCGCCAGGCGCAGGCTGCGGCGGACAGAGAGGAGACGCAGATGGATCAACTGCTCTCTTGTTGCGTCAGTTTCCTCTCACTGCGGCTCCACCCCCCCCCACGTGCACGCTGCGTGTTTGATCCGTGCACGCGCTTGAATGCAAGCTCACACACGGGGCTATGCATGTGTCGTGCGTGCGTGTGCGCGCTCCTTCTTGTTTCCATGCATCTGTGTGTATCTGAGCGTGCAGCTTGTCTCGTAGTGTGTGTGTGTGTGTGTGTGTGTGTGTGTGTGTGTGTGTGTGTGTGTGTGTGTGTGTGTGTGTGTATATATAAAGATATATATATATATACACACACACGGTATATGTATTAGGTTTATTATGTATGTTTTATTAGTTCATTGTTCATGCATTTTTAAAAATAAAAACCAAAATAAAATTTTAGTAAAAGAATTTGAGGACCCCCAAGATACCTCTTGCGGACCTCTGGGGGTCCAGGGACCCCAGTTTGAGAACCTCTGCTTTAGAACACAACAGTCAGATAAAATATGTTAACAAAACAAATTTTCTTTAAAAATCTCCTAAAACTGACAGATAATAAAAACAGCTGAGGTAATTCTACAAATGTTAAAGTTTTAAAAAACAACTTTTATTTTTTTATTAAGTTGCTCCAACAGTATTTTTCTTAACTTCTAAGTTAATTAGTTGTTAATTAGATTAAATTGTGCTGATGGGGTTCATATATCTGCCTCTTTCATCTGCACCAAGATAAAAGGTTCAGTAAAGTCCTCCTGGTCCAGGTCCTCCACACCGCGCTCTTTGGGGACTCGAGGAAAGAGGCTTTATTTCCAGTTCTGATGCTAAAATCCAACCAGTCAAAGTAGGAAGTTGTTCATATTTAAAATATAAAAACACACATTTGCCTTTCAAAGACTGCAGCCCTGCCCATTCAAATACTGCAGCCAAGCAGGAAGACTTTACTCCAGATTTACATTTAATGACAGCAAATGTTCTAAACATAGTGAAGGAAGCTGCAGTGGTTTCTTGTTTTTACTTTGAAGGATTGAAAAGGTCTGATGGAGACAGCAGAGACAGATGAGGGGTGGGGGGGGGGGCTGCAAAGCGACGCAATCCAACTGAGATTTGATCTGGGTCCAGCTGGGGAGTGTGTGCCTCCATCGTCTCCTGAGTATTTCTATCTGCAGCTCCGACATGTTTGCTCAGTCTGAACAAACAAATGAGTCGTCCTCTCTGTCAGTAATGAGGGCGAAAATCAAAGCCCGTGCACAATTTGTTTGGCAAAGTGGCTCATATGGAAAACAGCTCAGAGACGAGAGGCGACACCCTGATCCATCCCCCCGGAGAAGACCCCAAAGAACTCCCACAAGAACCTGGTGGAGGTGAAACCCAGCTGATCTGTCACAAACTTTAAAAAATTACTCACTTTGGTTCCAGTTTTGACCACAAAGAAAGCAGCCGGGTCTTTTATCTTCATCAAAACTCACTCAGAAAATCAATAAAACTGAATAAATTTAATTATTTCACTCAAAGAAAAGTCTTTTCTCAGAGGAGGATTTCCATCAGAGATAAAAAAAAACATCTTCAGACTCAGACTGGAGGCTGAATTTGTATAAAACCATAAAAACATCAAACACTCACAGAGCACGTTAACATGAGCAGAAAAAAACTTAGTTTAAACAGATTATATTTATAACTTATCCTGTGCAGATTTAACCCGTTATGAAAAATTAAAACATCAACATATGAGAACTGACGCCTGCACGGAATGACCAAAAGTTGCTTTTATTCCTTATTTTCATTCATTCCTACTTATGCAGCACCCTCTGCACCCCTGCTTCCCTCCGGAGGGAGAAAAAAAATTAAAGAGAGGTCTGAGCTGAAGAGCTGACAAGAATCTAAAATGGATTTGTGTTCATCTGGGTTCAAAATAAAAACCTGATTTTAAAACAAATCCTTTACAGTTTTTAACATCAAAACTTCCAAATTATTAATGCAGCTTAAAATAATCCAGATTAAATACATTAATGACTAATTAATAATGTTTGGTAAAATAAATAATAAATATAAATAAATACAATAATNGTGTGTGTGTGTGTGTGTGTGTGTGTGTGTGTGTGTCCTAATTAGAGCTCACACACTAATCACATTTCACACAGCCTGCAGCAGCACTGATTAACCCACATAACTAACGTAAATTATGAAGAAAAAAAACAGCCAAAGTGATTTTTTCTAACTGGTCAGTTCTGCAGCAGGTTGGTTTCTTTAACCTGATAATAATCAGATGAAGTCATAATGAGCAGGAGGTTCAGTCTGCTTGAATGAGTCTTTAACAAACATTTATTAACATTAAACATTTTATTATTTTATCATCCAAAGGTCATGAAAAACCAGAACCGAAGCTGAGTCCTCTGACAGAGCTGCAGATTATCGTTTCATTTATTTTCTGCTTTTCTTGCCACGCTGCTGCGTCAAAATTGTTTGTTGGAGCAGAAAAAAAACTAAAGAGGTCAAGCAGTCAGCTGTGAGAGTGCAGCTGCAAAATAAATAAATAAATAAATAAATAAAAGACCATCGACTGTTCGGTCGTTTGTGGAAAATGCAAAGAGCTGAAAACACTTTTTAAAGCCAAATATTAATAAAATCACAGAAAACTATAATGTTGAAACGTGACAGGTGAAATGTGCTGAAGAAGTTATAAGCAGTGTTGTATAAAGTACCTCAAAGTGAGTAGTACAAGTATCTTACCATAAAAATACTTTGGTAAAAGTTAGTCTTCTCTAAAAATATTACTTGAGTAAAAGTCTTAAAGTATCTGATATTTTTTTGTACTTAACTATTAAAAGTAAATTTCTGACACAGAATCTACTTAAGTATTAAAAGTAAAAGTACTAAGTAAAAGTGAGCAGCTAGATTTTCCAAAAAGACATTTATTAGAAGCTGACTTCTCCAAAAAATACTTTCTAACAGCGTGCAGCTGTGATGGGTTGTGTACAAAGTAATATGGTGTCAGAATGGTATATATTTATACTTCTCATCCAAACACAATTAAATTCACTCTATAGGAGACACAGTTTATCAGGAGAGGATTTTTAAAGTAATAACAACTCAGAATAAAATAGGAGCAACGACTTTCTACTTCTTATCTTTTTTAAAAATGTAGTGAGTAGAAAGTACAGATAATTGTGTAAAAATGTAATGAGTAAAAGTAAAAAGTACGCTGAAAAATAATTACTCAAGTAAAGTACAGATAACCAAAATTTCTACTTAAGTACAGTAACAAAGTATTTGTACTTAGTTACTTTACAACTCTGGTTATAAGATGCAAAACAATAACTAGAAGCTAAATCTGTGGCTTAATGTTAAATTTAGTAAAAGCTAAAAAACCTCAAAGAAGCAGAACATTAGTAAAACAATAAAATATTAGTTTAAGGTCTAACTCTTTTTATAAAATTAAAAACTCTTCAGTCCATTCATCTGTTTCTTTTATAAACAAAACAAAGCAGGTCTGTCTCCGATAATTCAGTCTCAGCATTAAAAACAGTTTTTTTGCATTAATACAAAACCTGATCTTCAGCTGCTGCAAAAATACAGACGCATTTAGTGATTTATTTTCAACATTTAGGCTTCCTGTGTGTCCAGTTTTTATAGATTTTACAGTTTAATAAAGGTTTTCTGCTCCCATCATCCATCCAGTTAAAGGACAATAAAACTGAACAACAAACATGTTGCTCAGACTGTTAATGTTCTGTTTTTACTGATAGAAATTAAATTAATGTTCCAGTAGAAGCTGCTGTAAAATGATTTCAATGAGCCAGAAAAGGAAATAAAATAAAAAGGATCCTGTTGCCTGGTTCAGTTCTGACTTTCAGAGGCAGAGAGGCAGAATCAGCTGAGATGCTTTTATACTTGTTATTAGGGATGTCCGATAATATCGACCTACAGATATTATCGGTCTGATGTTAACATAAAATGTAAAATCATAATATCGGTATCAATTTTTCTTCTGATAAAAAAAGCCCAATAAACCTGAATTTGACCAAAATGTGTTAATGAATGTGGTCCAGAAAGGTTCAACGGCACGTGGTTGATGACATCATCAGACTGGATTATCTCAGGGACAGCATGATCCAAACTATTGTTTGAGACAAAATGTTAACAATAAATATGGCACTTTTCCCAGAACTTCACTGAAATGGTTTTTATTTTGTACAATGTTCACCTGTGGAATGCATCTAGTGAGGAATCACAGTAAAAGTAGGCGTAATATCCCTGACAGTAGAACTGTGATGTCACCTTAATATCAGTTTTTAATATCGGAATCAAAAATTAAATGTTGAACAATATCAGCATATCGAATATCGTCAAAAAGTCAACATCATCGAGCATCTCTACTTTTAATTTTTTATTTTTATACGATGTTCCTTAGAGACACACAACTGGGTAAATATCTTATCCTAACTTTAGTTTTGGAAGCACTCAGATTTATTAAAAAGAAAAAAATTGTATAGGTCTTCTGGACGGGTTCTTCTCTAATGAAACGTTTCGTCTCTCCTCCAAGAGACTTCTTCAGTCTGAGAG